AGCAGCAGCAGCAGCAGCAGCAGCAGCAGCAGCAGCAGCAGCAGCAGCAGCAGCAGCAGCAGCAGCAGCAGCAGCAGCAGGGGGCTGACGCTGGGGCGCTGCAGCAAAAGCAGCAGATGCTGCTCCTGCTGCTGCCAGCTGCAGCACCGGCGGCAGCAAAAGGGTTTGCGGAGAAGACACAAAAGAAACACTTGGGGGCAGCCCGCACTGGCCCCGCTCGTTGGCCCCCACCGCCAGCGTCGCGCCTAACAAAACCCTAAACCCTAAACCCTAAACCCTAAACCCTAAACCCTAAACCCCAAACCCTAAACCCTAAACCCTAGACCTTGGAGCTAAGCCCTGGGTTTCTGTGCCTGGCGGCCGGCAGCGGGGGGAGGGTTTAGGGTTTGAGGGCTAGGGTTTGCGCTAGGGTTTGGAGTCTAGGGTTTAGGGTTTGGGGTTTTCGCTGGTGTTTCGGACTTGCGATTAGGGTTTGCGCGGGGAGAGGGTTTGGCCCAGAGCCTTGGAATAGGGTTTACGCTGGATTAGGGTTTAAGTCGAGGGTTTAGGGTTTTGAACTAGGGTTTGCAGCGAGGGTTTAGGGTTTTGAACTAGGGTTTGCAGCGAGGGTTTAGGGTTTAGGGTTTAGGGTTTAGGGTTTCGCACCGTCTTGCAGCAGCAGCAGCGCGTGTCTGTCTCCAGCAGCAACAGAAGAGACACAAAGCCTTAGGGGGCCCCTATAAGGGCCAGGGTACACTTGGGGGGCCCCCCTGGGGGGCCCCCCTAGGGCCTCTTCCCTGGCTTTGGGGGCCCCCAACAGCTCCGCCTTGTCTGGGGGGCCCCCCCCGGACTGGCAGACAAGCTGGGGGCCCCTGAAAGCTGCTGGGGGCCCCTTGTGGCTGCCTGCTGCTGCTGCTGCTGCTGCTGCTGCTGCTCTGCCTCCTGCTGCTGCTTCTGCAGCAGCAGTGGGGGCCCCACCCCACACTGGGTCGGGGCCCCACGCGTAAACAAAAGTCTCTTCATTGCCAGCTGAGTCCTCTCCGGGGGCCCCCGGGGGGCCCCCGGGGGCCCCCCGGGGGCCCCCCGGGGGGCCCCTGGGGGGCCCCCTGCGCAGCAAAGCAAGCCCGTGCCTGTGCCCCAGCGCCACCTAAGAACAGCAAAATAAAGGGGCCCCAGGTACAGGGTGCTGCAGCAGCAGCAGCAACAGCAACAGCAGCAGCAGCAACAGCAGCAACAGCAACAGCAGCAGCAGCAGCAGCAGCAACAGCAGCAGCAGCAACAGCAACAGCAACAGCAACAGCAGCAGCAGCAGCAGCGGCAGCAGCAGGACCCTGCTGCTGTTGCTGTTGCTGCTGCTGTTGCTGCTGCTGCTGTTGCTGCTGCGGCAGCAGCTGCTGCTGCTGCTCCCAGGCGCGCAGGGTTCGCCGCACCTCTACAACTTGGAGGGGCCCCCCGGGGGGCCCCCCGGGGGGCCCCCCAGCTGGCTGGCTGCTGCCAGGGGGGCCCCCACTTCGCCGCGGGGGCAGAGGGGGGCCCCCCAAGGCCAAGGGTTTGGGAATAACAACAACCCCACTGCTGCCTGCTGCTGCGGGGCCCCACACCCAGAGGGTCTCTTCTGTTGCTGCTGCTGAGGCCCCGGGGCCGCAGCAAGTCCCAGAGACAGACAGGCACTCCGAGGGCAGGCAGTGGGGGCCCCCGCAGCTGCTGCAGCTGCTGCTGCTGCTGCTGCTGCTGCTGCTGCAGCTGCTGCAGCTGCTGCTGCTGCTGCTGCTGCTGCTGCTGCTGCAGCTTCCAACGGCGCCCGTCGGCGCCGCTTGCTGCTCCGCCCCGCCGCGAGCGCTCCCCTGCGGCCCCCCCTCCTGCTGCTGCTGCTGCTGCTGCTGCTGCTGCTGCTGCTGCTCCTGCAGCCTCAAAGGGACTCTCGTGGGGGGCTTTTCTTTGCTGTCTCCTTTGCAAGAAAAAGAAGGAAGGCCCAAAAGGTACGCGTCTTGGGCCCCCCAGGTGTACAGACACCGCGCAAACCGCACCCCGGGGGGCCCCCCGGGGGGCCCCCCGGGGGGCCCCCCAAGACTTCTGGGGGCCCCCAGGGGCCCCCAGCAGTGCAGCAGGAAAGGCTGGGGGGGAAGCCAGGGGGGCCCCCAGAGGCAGCAGGGCCCTTTCAGAGAGCCGGGCCGCCTCTGCTGCTGCGGGCAGGGGCCCCGTGCTGCAGTACCCACACGCTGGGGGGCCCCCGGGGGGCCCCCCGGGGGGCCCCCCGGAGGGGCCCCCCAGGGGCCCCAGGCAGTTCGCGCAGAGAGGCAGAAAGTGACAGAAGCAGCAGGCAGCAGCAGCAGCGCCGCTGCAGCCACCAGCAGCAGTCTCAGCGTCCGCGCCCTCGCTGCTGCTGCTGCTGCTGCTGCTGCTGCTGCTGCTGCTGCTGCTGTTGGGGAATGCTTGAGGCCAATGCTTCTTGAGGGCCTCTGCAGCAACAGGACAGACCGTTTCTGGCGGCTGCAGCTGCAGCAGAGTGAGGCCACTGGGGGCCCCTGGGGGCCCTTCCTCGGGGGCCCCCGCAGAGGCCCCCCAAGGGGCCCCCAGGGGGGCCCCCAGGGGGGCCCCCAGGGGGGCCCCCAGGGGGGCCCCCAGGGGGGACCCCCTGTGCAGCAGCTGCAGCGCACAGAGGAGATTGCCCCTTCGAAGCAGCCGGGAAAGACCCAGTGCTGCGCAGCTGCTGCAGCAGCTGAGGCACTCCACGAGGGGGCAGGGGGCCCCCAGGGGCCCCCAGTACCCTGTTTTTGGGGCCTCCTGGGGGGCCCCCGGGGCCCCAACACAGCCAGGGGGCCCCCCCAACGCGAGGACCATTCGAAGGCCCCAGCTCTCAGGGGCCCCCTGAGGTCTGGGGGCCCCTGAGCTTGTTTGCTGCTGCTGCTGCTGCCTTCTGCCTTTTCTAACTAAAGGCAGAAGGCAGCAGCAGCAGCAGCAGCAGCACGAGCAGCAGCAGCGACGGGGCCCGGGGGCCCCCAGAAAGAAGATAGGCAGCAGGGGGCCCCCGGGGAAGCGCCTGGGGCCCCCAGAGAAGTTCAAAAGCTTTAATTGTAATAATAAATGGTATTTAAAGTACCCTTTTAGTCTTAGTTGCAGCAGCGCTGCAGCAGCAAGGGGCCCCTGAGCTGCTGCTGCGAGCTAGGGGCCCCTGGGGCCCCTTGCTGCAGGGGCCCCCAGTACCCTGGGGGCCCCCCTGGGTCTCGGAAACCGCAGCAAAAGTCTTGAGGAGTTAAGGGCCCCCAATTGATAATTTA